TATCATTAAAAAAAAGAATATTATTCCAACAATAAAGTGGTTTGAAAAGTTCTAATACTATTTGTCATTTGAAGAATAAGAAATCATAGCTCATGCTAAAGCTTCTGAATGGCAGAACTCTTAAGAGTATATTATATAATAATCAGAATGAGTGTGCTAGGAGCTTTGATTCCTATAGCAATACATAAAGCAGGAGTGAGTTCCATCCAAATAGAAAGACTCCTTCATGAATACCTTGTGGGTAGGAGGAGTCAGGTTTCCAACCAGTTCAGAACTAAGCTCTCTGTCTCTATAGGATACCACCTATGCATTTTACAGTGAAGTGCTTGCAGAAGTTCATAGTGTCACTAGTATGTCATCCTCTGAAATAAATGAGGCTTTTAAATGACTCTGAGTAAAATATGCTTTTAAAATGATTTAGTGCTCATTAGATGACATGTGGTTATCTTTATAAAGGATTCTAATTTAGACACTCACATCCCCCAGTACCTCACTCATCTACCTGTTGCTGGAAATTCTACTAAAGTCATTTTAACTATTATTTCCTAATAATATATATTATATATTATTAGGAAATAATGTATATATAAAACTTCCTGTTCCAATCATTATGTACAACCTTCACTCCATAAATAAATTTGAGGACCGGCTGCATTCCAGGCACTCTGCTACACCATCACAATAGGCCAATTAGATACATTATTTTGGATAAAAGAAGGAGATTATACTGCCTCCCTATAGAAGATTTTTAATATACTTCATGAGAAACCAATTATTATAACACCTTTGGTCATATCCAGATACAGATTTATCAAAGAGCTACATTTTACCTTACATCTCAGACTTAAACCATATTCAAAGTATAGATTTCAGGATGGCATTCAAGCTCAAAACTAAGTCACAGAGCAATAAGCAGTGATAAAAGCCTCTCCCTCTCATCTCTAGCTCAAGTCACTGAATCTGCCATTTTTCTATGATTATTTCCTACTTGCTCTTTGTAGCCTTGTTATGGTCTGTTTCTAGGTGTCCCCCCAAAGCCTCATGCAGTCTTAGATGGGGCTTTTTCAGAGGTGGCTGAAACCAGTGTGTTATGCTGGGATTAAGGGCATATGATTACTAAACCAGTCCACTGATTGATCTGGTACCGCCTCATTCCCAGTAGTCTGGACAAGATAAAAGGGGCAGAAAGATGCTGTGAAGGTCCTTGTTGCTGTTGCTACCTTGTGGGCACCATGAACTGTCCTCTGAGACGCCCTTCAGCCAAGCCAGCCTACCTTGGATCCAGCTATGGACTGAACACTCTATAGACTGTGAGCCAAATAAAACTTCTCCTCTTTAACTTTGGGTGTTGGGTATTTTGTCTCAGCAATGAGAGAAAGGTAACTGAGACAACTCTCTTATCACACTCTGATTTATCCTATTTGAGAGTGATTTGCTTAGCTCCTTGAGTCACACAGGCTAAAAAGTGAAGAAGAATATTTTATGGTGCCTGAATCCTGTGTGTTTAACAGTAGTAGAAAACTGTTAAATATAATTCACTAATGCAATTGAAAAATAATTGATGGGATTACTGTACAAGCCAAGTATGCCCAGTCTTGCACTTGCACGTATGGGTTATTTAAACTTATGAGTTTTCCTTTTTCCAGAACTTTGAGTAAATGGATGTATTATTCTTTTTTTGGAGGAAGACACAAGTTCGCTATAATTATTTTTATAGAATCTGTGTAAACTGGGTGTGATATCAATGAACATCTGTAATACTAGTAATTGGGAAAGCTGACAGTAGGATAGGAAGTTCAAGTCTAGCCTGGGCAATTTAGTGACTCGGTAAGACACTGTCTCACAATTGAAGAAGTTTAAAAAAGGCTGGGTAGAGAGCTCAGTGCAAAGTCTCTGGATTCAATCCCCAATATCACACTGCCAAGAAGAAAAAGATGAAGGAGGAGGAGAAGGATGAAAGGAGGGGGAAAGAAGGGGAGGAGGAGGATGAAGAGAAGAGGGGGAGAAAAAGATGAAGGAGGAGAAGGACGAAAGGAGGGGGGAAGAAGGGGAGGAGGAGGGGGAGGAGGAAAAAGCCTGGATAGTCTACACTAATAGTGTTAATATTAGAAAGTCCAAAGTCAATTCTAATTACTAAGTTCCTAATATTATATAAAAAAGGAAATAATCCAGCAAATTAAAAAATACTTGTAAATATGGGCTTTTAGTTAAAAACATTCTTTTTAATATTTTCTCAGTGTTTCTGTGTACCAGGTGCTCCCACAAAACTTTCATCTCCCCCATTTTTAGTTGATTTTTTCAGTGACAAGTGGCTACAAGATTTCTGCAACATAAAAGAAAACCTAGCTCAAAGCAGGCATTTCGCACACGATAGTGGTTTCCACCACCAGCTTACCCAGCTTCCCCCGAACGTTATCAGAGCAGTGGCAACAAGGATGAAACCAAGTGTCTTTGCCATTTTCCCCACTGAAAGAACTGCAAAAACAAAAACAATTTTTAAAACTATTTTTCCCCTTGTACTGGAGATTGACAGGGCCTTTCAAGTGCTAGACAAGTGCTCTACCACTGAGCCATGTCCCCAGCTTAGAATTTTGTCAGCATATCAACTCTGAATTTTTCATGAAGCCAGAGTTGGATTTAGACTCAAGTAGCTCCAGGAGGTCCAATGAGGCTGCAGGCCATCCCTAATCTCTAGGTCACCTAGAAAACTGTCACAGATGTTACCAGCCTCCTGCCTTCACAAAATGATGCTTGGTTTAACCTTGAATAGAATGGTACTTGTTCAGTGACACAAATATAAAAGAAACTCTCATTCTGTCAGCGTCCTAATGTGCTTCCTGGCTGATGGAGTGGAACAGGCGCAGGCTGTGTAAGCATGAAGATCTGGGTCCGCATTTTGGCTGAGACACATCTTGGCTGTATGACCTTGGGCAGCTTACTACAGTGCTCCTGGTCTAGAAAAGGGAAATAATAATTGCTATTACTACCTGACAGGGTTGTGGAAACTTTGAGATAATTTTTAGGTACCCTGGCATATAAGTGATAAATTAATAGTAATTCATTTTGTGTATGGAAGATTATTTTTATTTTTAAAAGAAGAAAGTTGTAACAAGTAGATGATATGCACTTTTTTTCTTGATGTCTTAATGTTTAGGCAAAGCAAACAAGATTAATATAAAATATCAAGCTCTGCTTAAAATTTGGAGAAAAATTAACTTTACACACAGGGTCAAACCCAGGACCTTGCACATTCTAGGCAAGAGTCTTACATGCCCAACGCTTAAAATCAATATCAAAGTTATTAGTCTTAGTGAGAAATTTTGTTCAAATTTGGGATAGTTTCTGTATGCTACCACAAGAGTGAGTTTTCACAAATTTTAAAAACCAGGAATCCGGTATGGACAGAAAATACTTGCATACTCTTCAAACAAATTTTATCCCTGTGATTTCTGCTTTTAAAAAGATATTGAAATTAACTGAATGATTTGTTAGTCTATTTTTATGCTTATACCCCTTTATCACTAGTCCTATTCATGAAGAACTTTCCCTACTTGGATGTAAGTGAAGAAATGGTACATAAACTTTGCTACTCATGAGAACTTTTACAAGCTTTAAGAAAAATCTCCATGTTCAGGCATTAAACTCAGTGACCAAAGTTTAGCAAAGTTTGAGAACAAATGAGGTAAGAATTTAATAGACCAAAAATTCATTTTGTGGCTGAGCATGGTGGCGCATGCCTGTAACCCCAGCACTCAGGAGGCTGTTCTGAGGGCAGGAGGATTGTTCTGAGTTCGAGACCAGCCTGGGCTACAAAGTGAGCTCAAGGCCAGCCTGAACTGCATAGCGAGACCTTGTCTCAAAAAAGGCAAAAAGAAAAAAAAAGCATTCTGTGTCTATGCCAAGAGAGTAGGTGGTTCTTAGTCTTCTGGAGCCAATAAGAATAGTCACAGGATCGGAGGAGTGTCACTTGAATTTTTTTTTTTTGTCACTTTGGGAAGAATTTTTAAAATATAATCTAAATTCTGAGAATATGTAAATTCTTAGAGAGTTTTAAAGGGCATGCTAGATGTGTGTGTATAATTTTACTTCACACAGTTGTACTATTGAGTCTTTTTTATAACTTCCTAGAATGATACTATGCCTTTTATAAGCATCATCTGAATTAACCCACAAACATCCATAAAAGGGAGGTGTATGTAGGTGAATCAGTCAAAAGCTTTAAATCACTTCCTTAAAGGTCACACAACTGATATAGGAAAGACCTGGCAATTGGGTTTTCAACAAGGTCAGGGCCCTTAATCAGCACCCTGTGGCGCCTTGTCACTCTGCTCCTGCTACACAGAGGGAAATGGGCTGCAGAGAAGTCCTGCAACTTGGCCTTCTCAATCCAACACCACTCCCGCTTCTCAACATGGCTGTGACTGGATTCCGAATCATATGCTCTTCCAAAAGAATGTTCGGTTAACTTAGCTAGAGAAGACACAGCTGCACAAAAGCAGAAGCAGTCCTGGAACTGGCAGTGTTAGCAGGAAGCTACGGACCATCAGCTGCTATGAAAAATATAGTTGCCTCAGTTAGGTAATATGTTGGAGAAGAAGTGAAAATAAATAGTGAAATGGGAATTTAAAGCTATCTGCATCAGGTACATGAAATCATGTGTAATTAAATGTAGAACTAAACTTCTCCAGATATCCCCTCAAGATAGCATATATAATCACTTCCTCCACTTTAATCCCATAACACTACTTTGCATTATCCATTGTTCACTGGACTGATACTGTTTGCATGCCTACTATGTTCTAGGCACTGTGCCAGGTGACAGAATTATCATTTGGTTAGTGCTTTTCTTATTCTCTACCTCCCTTTGCACCTTACAGTAAGATCTAGAAAACAAAGGCCATACTGTGCTTATTGTTCTAGCCTCAGCATTTAATTCATTGTGCTGATGCCCACAAAAATGCAATTGTTGCCTCTGCCGAAATCATTCCCCAGGAAGTAAAACCCTTTTTGGAGAGGAGAATGTTATTTCCTAGCCATAAAACTAGTCCGTTTGAACTCACACACTTTCTACCTCCACAGAAAAACAAGTCTGGTATATGTTTGAAATTAAGTGTTAAGAAGGAATTGTGGGCTTTAACTTGGATAAAAATCTGAGTTTATATTTTCTTTTCTCACAAAACCCAACCAAAAAAAAGGAAAGAAAAATGTGAAAGACAAATTGACAAAGTCAAACAGAAAAGGAGAGGAAGAGACCCTGGGTGTGAGATGACAAAGGGCTTCTAGGGGAGCTGGCCAGTAGCCTGGCCGGCCCAGGGCTTGGGTAGGGCCGCGGGCTGGCTCCAAGGCAGAGCGCAGGCAGGGGCCGCATCAGCCCTCACCTAAGTCCTGGGTGGCCAGGTGAGTGCTGCCTTCCCGAGACAGCAGACGGGCAGACTGACTCCCTAGATTGGCTTGCTATTGAGGCCGAAGCAGAGTCCCAGGGTAGTCCGGCAGCCTGTGCGCTGGAGGGCAGGGGGGACCAGGTTCCAAAAGGCTTCAGCCCGCTTCTCCACGAGGCTCTCCACCCGCAGCCAGCCTCCTCCCACCGACATCCTGGCTGGAAATGCGGGTTCTTCTCTGGAGACACTGAGCAGCCACAAAGAAGAGATCTGCAGAAATGACACCGAGGAGTCCCTACGGGTCGTTCTTCCAAAGACCCGGCTGGTTGGTGAGTCTCATTTATGTATGCCCACATGAAAAATACAGGTGTAACCAATATTTTGCTTGTTTCTTTTAAAGGAGATTTTCTCTGAAGGAAGAAGTAGTTTAACTTCAATAGCGCTCTCTCTCTCTCTCTCTTTCTCTCTCTCTCTCTCCCCTTCTCCCTCTCCCTCTCTCCCTCTCTCCCTCTCTCCCTCTCTGTTTTTGAGAGGAGGCTCTTTTTCGGAAGAACAACCAGTCAAGGCTCCCCAGTGTCATCTCTGCAGATTTCTTTGAGGCTACTGAGCGCTTCCACAGAGGAGTCCCGTGTCCCCCAGTCTCCCTCTTTCTCTCAACTCAACTCTTCAATGTCCTGTTGTAAAGCAGGCATAGTGGTACCTACCTGCAATCCCAACACTCACGGAGTCTGAGGCAGGAAGATCTCTAACCCAGCCTGGACAATTTAGCAACCTAACCAAACCCTATATACTATATAGTATGTTTATACTATACTATTATATATATATATATATATATATATATATATACATAAGTATATATATAAATTTCCTATCTGAATTGGAAACATATCAAGAGCATTTTTTCTGCTACACTGTAAGGCTTCTAAATTAACTACTCTTTATCAAAATAGAAAAGACAAGTTTCCCTAGACTTTAGCACTGTTCATTCTTTCACTTATTTACTATTATATAAAATTGCTATTTGGAATAGTTATAGCCACCCCCACAGCCCCTCCTGAATTTAGCAATTCCCAAAGCCACTCCTGTCTGACACTCCGGGCACTTCAGTTCATTCATACTTCGCAAAAGCATTTACTGAATGCATACTACATGCTAGGCAAAGTGCTGGCAGGGATTGAGAATACTGAAATCGAACTCGGTCCTGTGTAAAGAGATCATGATACAGTACGAACTGTGCAGCCTTTGAAAACAGTTTGATGAGATTGCATTTGCAGGTAACAGGAGTTAGGACATACCTTGGGTGATCACAATTAAACCCAGTAAGGTACTCAAAATATTTGTTGAATGGATGAGAAGCAAATGTGCAAACATAAAGTAGAATTTTAGAGCTTCCTAGTTTCCTTTGAGTTTTATAGTTGCTTGTTAGAGATGAAGTTCTTTTGTGTCTATTGCATTCATTGGATGTCCCTAATCGGATGCCCCTATCTTTTCTACTCTCTCAACAATAACTAAGAAAAAAAATTTTCATGATTTTCAAAAAGACTTATCAGTGTGTGATAGTTTATTTTGGTTGTAAAAGAGATTTAGATTGATAAAACACAGAACGAAATAACTAAAAAACTCAGTGCCTAAGATATTTAAAATTTAATTATCTCAATAGGCTAAGGTCATTATCATAGCTCTCTCATAACGAATTATTAGTTTAACCAATGTTTTCAGCTGGAAATAAATATATTTATTCAGCAAAATTATTATAGATATGCTATGCTTTCAAAAACCTGTTTGTACCCTTCTACCCTTTAATTATTTAATTTCAAAATTTGTCCTAAAGCTCAAATAGTAAGAAGTAGAAAGAAAAAAAAGAAATCCTCCTCTGCCTCTGCATAATGGAGAGTGTAATCAATCACATAGTTATAATTGTATAATTACAAAATTCCTTAATGTTATAGAAAATAAGGAACAAGAATAACTGTTTCATTATAAACAAGTAGAAAATTAAGATGGAAAAGAAAAAATATTTTTATAGGACATATAAAACATTTTAAAACCAGAAAGCATTATTGGGTGGACGAGGTGCTGCGTGGTTAAGGTTGTGGACTGCTAGAAGTAGAAAGCATTATCCTCTGAGGTGGGAACACACCATCAAAACACAATGAAAGGAAAAGAAGTAAGATCACCCAGCTAAACATCATCAATGCTTGAAATCACGAGGCTCAGAGAAGGAGAAATTACTTGTTTAAAGAATAAAATAGACTTCCACTAAGTATAGTCACATTTACCTAGGAGATCAGTATAAAAATATGATATAAATACTATTTATTTGTGACTCCAACTCAAATTGATGGAAAAGAACTGATATATTTAATAGATTGTTGATTGGTCATTTTCATTGATGAAAGGAGCAGCTAAGAATTAGCAGTAAATATAAAACCTTTTTCTTGAGATAAGAACAGATCATTATTTTAATTCATTTCCAACTGTCAGATTAGAGTCTCAGGAGTCAAGGATCAAGTCATGAAATGTGTGTGCTTTCCAGGCTTTGTTTTATTGCTACTGAAATATAAGAATTACTTCTTACATTTCATCAAGTTCTATGCATTTATGGAATCATCCTCATTGTTTTCAAAATGAATAAATTATCTTAAAAACATAAAGAGCTTAAAATTTTTTATCCAGTGTGTTTCTGGCTCTTAATTAAGTGAAAGTATGTTTTAAACTGCTCATCTATATATATAAAATTCTACATGTGTGTGTGTATATATATATACATATATCACTAATTACATAACATATTATATAAGATACTGCATAACATGTATAAATACTATTAGCACTAGATTTTATAAAAAATAGGAAACCAGTGACAGTGAAAACCTTAAAAAGCTAAGTACCTTTGATCCCCAAATAGGTGAAATAAAGAAAAACATTTGTGAAATAAAATTATAATAAGGTCCTTTTATTTCCCCTTTTGTTTTATTTCCCCTTTTGTCCTTTTATTTCCCATCCCACTCATTCAGAATATAAAGAGATTGGAAAGAAGATGTAATTCTAAATCTATTTTCCAAGTTGCAAGTCTCCCCACTCACCACCCTGATCGCTTTCATAACACAATGGTTATCTCTTGAGTTATGATTACTATCATCCCTGTGAAATAAATTAGCACTACCACATTCATGACAAATGCCAGAGACATTAAATAACTTGCCCAAAGTCAGAAATGAGAGACACAGCTCAGACTTGGTCCAGACGCGGCCTCGAGGGTTCTCTAACTGCATTCAGAATTTGTGCTGTTGGTTGTTTGGGGTTTTCCCCTCCATTATTTGATTAGAAATAGAGACAATGTTGATTTTGGCTTTACTCCAGGAACAAAATGAAGAAATAGGTTTAACTGGAAGGAAAATTTTAAAACAGAATGCAACAAGATGTAAGGACAAATCTCAATACTATATTTTCATTTATCCCTATTTGTATGGGCTTTTATAAAATACTCAATAATATATCTTTATTATTATTTCTCTTTTTAATGAGCACATCCAGAGAATTTCTGTACCTTAACTTCAGTAATGCTCACCTGAAGATTAAGTAAAACCAAAGTTCAGCTTTGGTTAGAGGATTTTCTAATGTGTAATGAGTGTCTTGTTAGTGCTATTAATCATATAGCATAATAGTTTTGGACTAGAAACCCAGATTTATTCTGATATAATTTAAGTAGTTGTTTGCTATTTGTTCTGCAGTCTCTATTTATTAACTCAGATTCCAGTAAAATTTTGGTTGTGTTTTCCTTCTGTTTTTTATTAAACTTGAGTACTGCCAGTGTTTGGTTTTCCTGGTAAATATTTGCTTGCCATTTGCTCGGAATCTTTGAAGATTATCAGGAAAAAGGTAGTTCTGATGACTTCCCAGGAGGAAAAAAGAAATTAGGCTTAAGTGATTTACATACATGGAGAAAATAGAAATTATACACTCATAATGGTAGAGAATTAAAATTGTTGACATTAAATGTCAAAAACAAAACATGGGATCACTTGTACTTGGTAAGTGTGCTAATTCCCTTTGTGGTAAAATGAAATGTTTTTAAACATAAACCTACTTTTTCTCCTCGTACCTTTTTACTATCTCTCCACCCAAACAACTGAGAAGCTATGGTTTCACTTCCTCAGAGAAGGGATGATAATAATAATGATAATAATAATAATACAATAATAGCTATCACATGATGTGCACTTGTGTGCTAGATGCAGTAACTTTTTTTCCTTTGGTGCTGGGAGCTTCAAAAGTCTATTACTGAGCAATATTCCCCAGCCACAACAGTAGTTATATTCAGCCACAATAGCCCTATAATTCCGTTACCATCTCCGTTCCACAGATGAAGAAACCAAGGCATTTGTGACCCTCTCAAGATCACACAACTAGCAAGAGTCAGAGCCAGAATTCAAAGTCAATCTGGAGCAGAATCTGTGCTCTTTAGTAAAATGATAGATCATACTGTCAGTCAATGACTTGCTAGGATCACTGCCTTAGGAGAAACCAGGAAAGAGCTAATAAAATAGCAAGGACAAAATCTAGGGTTAGTGTTCCAAGGAAACATGTCAAAAACTGAAATTGCTGGGAGTAATATTATTCCTTCTGTACATGATGCTGATTCTTATGGTGGAAGAGTCGCCAACAGGAAAGGTCAGAGTGGGGGTACAGCTCAGTTGTAGGACATATGGCTAGCGTATGCAAGGCCCTGGCTGCAACCACAGCATTGAAAAAGAAAGAGAGAGACTGTGAGAGGGAAAGAGAGGTAGAGGAAGAGAGGGAAAGAGGGAACAAGAGAGAAAGAAAGAAGTTCAAAATTGTGGCTTTGCATAGTTGTATCAAAGCTACTAAATGCTAATGAGACTTAGATCACTGGCTGAAAAAAAGCATGAGAAAGAAATTATATAAGAGCAGCAGAACAGAAATAGTGTTTGAGGTGATGGGCCAGAAATGGAAGCGTCAGGACACATACTTTGTGGCATTTTTTCTAAAAAAGGTGGTTTACCAAATAGAAGTTTGCGGTCATTTAGGCTCACATTTCATATCAACTTGCCTAGAAGTTAGATTGTATGCACTTAGTCTAAGAGTGATTAGTCACTGAGAACTGTCATGGCTTATATCTAGATGTTACCCCAAGCCTTAGGCACTCATAGATGGGGATTTGGGGGAGGTGACTAGATCATAGGTGTATGATACTGGATTAGTCAGATGTATAGCTGGGTATGATGTTGGGAAGTGAAGCCTAGTGGGAAGAGGTGGGTTCCTGTGGGCATGACCTGGAAGAATATATACATATATTTCCCTCCTCCTCCTCCTCTGCTTCCAGCCTGCCATGTCATAAACTGCTTCTGCCACGTCCCTCTGCCTTGGAGCCAGCCAAGGCACTACAAAACTGCAACCACTACAAACTGTGAGCCAAAATAATCCTCTCCTCTTTTAATTTGAGAGTGTCAGGTTTTTTGTCCCAGCAATGAGAAAGTCATGAAGACGAGAACTGACTCCACAATTCATTTCTTAATTTAGTAAAAGAGAATCGCCTTGTGAAGTGCCTTGGTATTGTGAACAGAAGTCTTCCTCATGGTGGGCAAAGGCCTTCTAGGCAGCAAATTTAAAAGAAGGAACTTTGCAGAAACAAACATAACATGATTAAGGATGCTGCATAATCTTGGAAGCTCTTTTTTAGATGTTATTAGATACACCTTTTCCTCTTTTTCCACTGGACAAAAGGTTCAATTTAAGCAACATCAGGTTGCTCTGGCTCCCAGATAGAGCATGAGCACTGACACATTCTTTTCTTCTTCTTTTGGAAGATTGGCTTCAGAGAATTCTTCAATGCATACATCAGACCTAGTATAGCTCTCAGCTGAACTCCATGGACGCAGTATCACGCCTGCCAGAGTGGATACCTACCCATCATATGAATGTGACCCAATCCCAGTAGGAAAGTTTAATATCACATCTCTCCATATCCAGTCTATTTACACCTGCAGCAGTGGCCATGTCTGCTCCAGCCCCATCATCAACTAGACTCAAGTAACTGATCTAGCTCCACTAGTATATCCTACCAGTAAATATTTCCGGTTATCCTTTTCCACAAGAGGGGATACATCTTTTATGGGGCTTATAAAACATCTGCCCAGTATAAAGTAATTATGTTTTAAACTTAAATTGTGTCTTTCATTAAAATATTTAGAATGGAGCATATTTAGCTATCAAGAAAAAGGGGCTCTTGAGACTAATCTTCATTCCAAGCACCTAACAGACCCTTCAACTCTTCCAAAAATTTTGGTTTGGCTGTCAGGCAGACTACTTAAAAAACACAAATTTACATAGCAGAGGTGCTGAGGAATTACTATAGAGAAGCATTTTTTTAAATCACTGACACTAAACCAGTTTTACTAGTGAATCCCTCCATTCGTGTTGTCTATGTAACCACAGAGTGGGAAGCTTTTTAAGTGACGCATGTTTGCAGTACATAAATGATCACATTCCTGGGGGGGAGTTGCATATGTATAAATTTTCTCCTTCTTTACTTTTTCTTTTGCCTTGAGTAAACTTTATTTTTTACTTTTTATTTACTTGTTTATTTGGATTTTTGATACAGGGTCTTGCTATGTAGTTTAGGCTGGCTTTAAACTCATTTTAATTCTTTTTTCCATCTTCTTTTCCTCCCTTTCTCCCCTACTCCATTTCTTGTTCCCTTTCTTTTTGCAAAAGTATCTATCTCTCTATTTCCTATTATCTATCTTTTATTTTACACTTTACTTATATGCACCTTGGGTTTCTCATATAAGAGAAACCATATGATATTTAAGCTTGTGATATTTAAACTCTAATTTATTTCCTTAACATTATGGTCTCAAGGTGTAGCTATTTTCCTACAAATAACTTCTTTATCTTTCTTTATGGCAGAGTGGTAGGCCATTGTGTATAAATGCCATACTTGCTTTATCCATTCATCTGTTGATGGATGTATAGGCCACTTCCAAGATTTAGCTATTATGATTTGTACTGCTATAGATGAGGGTATGAGTGTATCATTGTCTTTAACTCTTTCTGGGAGATACCTAGATGCGAAAAAGTTGTGAAGCAGATTAAGGCATGGCAAAGCAGCAGTCAAGATACTAAGCACTGATTCTCACATCTATTTATGCACCAGTGCCCTGCTGTTCTTACCACAACAGCTTTGTAACATATCTTCAGTCTGGGATTGTGTTGCCTCTTGCTTTGCTCTTGTGACCCAGGATTGAACATTGAGACAAACCAAATATTGACATACAGTAAACATCTACTAATTCTACAACTCTCCCTCCACCAACGATCAGCACAGAATTAACTGTATAAAGATTAATAAATTGTAATAGTTGTACTAGTAAAGATAGAGCATTTGGGAATGGGAGAATGAAAGTAGAAAAGTTTGAAAACTTAAGTAATAGAAGATGCAAAGGAGAGAAAAGTGAGATAAAGGATCTGATTAAGAGATAGAAAAAATTAATAGAATTAGATGGTGGTAGCACAAAGAATAACAAGAAAAGGGAGGAAAAAGAAGAAAACAACAAAAAGAAAAAGAAAGAAAATATGGAAAAAGTAAACAACCCCAAACTACAAAAAACCAAAGTTGAAGAGTTTAAAACAAAAACAAAAAACAAAAACAACAGCAACAAAAGCCTTCCTCTGTATATTTGAATGAGTGGCTTCTTTCCAGGATCTTTAGTTTTGGAATCCAGCAAGTCCATTTTTCCCTAGCGTTACAGCCTGTGGGGTTGTGAGAGGCTCTCTGTTCCAGAGACCCCTGTCTATACAGCCCATGGTGTGGCAGCCCTCTAAGCCACAGTGTGTCCTTACTCACATTGGCAGACAGAGAAAGCAATCAGACCTCTGATTTGTGCTGGATAGGGCATCAGGGTGAGGGTTCAAGCAGCTTGCTGTGCTTAATGCCAGCACTTTCAGACCCAACTGCCTCCAAAAGCCACACATGGTTGGCCGAGCTTCTCCCCATGATGGATGTGGCCTCTTGTGCTTCCTAGCCTGAGCTGAAACTTCTCAGTAGGTCTAGATCCTGCTCCCACACATCACTGTGGGGGGTGACATCAGAAACCCTGAAGTGTGTTTTATATCTCAGTCTTAAACAATTAACTCCTTTCCCAATGGCTTTGATTAAACACTCTCACATAGAATGGATGCTACACTGGATTCCTTCTCGAAGTGTAGCTTACAGTACTGAAGAAGTCACCTTTCGGAGTAAAGCCCTGGGCTGCTTTCAGAGTTTACAACAGTTATGG